AATCACATAGTCTGGCGAACATTGGAAAAATTAAAAAATACTCTTGATGTTTTGGGTGTAATGTCCATTCATTACAGTACCTCAGAATCTAATGGAGATAAAAGAAAAACATTCCGTATGGAGTAAAGTATGACTTGATAAAAAATCACATAGTCTGGCAAGAATTTAATAGGTAGCTAAATATTAATGTATATGTGTACCTTACTTGAATCAATATATCTGTGGTGGCATCTCCTGTCATTCAACAATTGAAAACGAACTTCATAGGAGTGGACTTGATACTCACAATAGGTTTCAAAGTGTTTAACTAATACTTATAAGTCTTGCCAAGTAAATAAAGGGTTAAGCACCATAACACTTCAGTTTTTTAGATATTGAACATTTAATGCACTTTCATGAGTTAAAATACGATTCTTCGATGAACCACTGGATCGCCATTTTTGACAGTTAATTCCTGTGTAGTAGACAAATTTCATTTCCAGCTCGTTTGATGTCATGCTAAAAAAATACTATAAATCAGTGAAAGAAGTACTCGTTGCAAGTAAATTGGCGTCTTCTCGACCGTTTCGGTATCGAGCAGCAATCGCCGGCTTATTTCGTCGGCTCTACTCTCTACTGTGCCTTCGAGACGTCAAAGTCTTCTCTCCGTTCCTGCTGTAACATTTCGTGCCGAATTCAATGGCAAAAGGGGAGAAGCATCTCATTAAGCTGTTTTTGTGAGAAGCTCCTTCAATTCTCCCCAACGCGTTCCTTTCATTGACCTATTAAAACGCCAGACAATGACTCCAAAAAAAATGAGACGTCTCGCGTACAAATAAGAAGGTCGGAATCGCTGCCGGCTTAAACGATTTAGATAACGCTTCTGAAATATCGGGAATGTAATACTCCTGCGCGTTTTTCATTGTCTGACGACGGTAATATATCGCGACGATGCGATATATCGAATGATAGAACGCGCCACGCTCAAACAATGGAAAAGATCTGTTAGGTTGCTCTTCGGGAACCATTTAGTCCTGGGTGAGCTTACACGTGATGTGCCGATCAACAAAAAATTGTTATGCGACGATATTATGTTACGATGTTCTGTTACATACGGTCACTGCAAGGAGTATTCGTACAGCAACCAATTTAAAATAAAATTAATAAGAAAAGAAATAAGAGGTTAACATTAATAATAGTAAACTTTAATTTACGCAAATTTTACTCTAAAAATGTGTAGGAATGTTGGTTAATTATTTTTCTCCTAAAATTTATTAATAAAATAAATATATGTAGCTTTATTTTGAATTGGTTACTGGACGAATCTTTACTGCGGATCTTTAGGCAAAATAAAATCTTCGCGAACGTGTCTACAGAAATTGAATCTATATAGGAATTTATTTTATTCTGCAAATGTTATAACATGAACTTTACTTTCAATCTTTTTTATATCTTTGAATATTGTTTGCATTTTGTAGATTCTTGCACATTCGAATTTCCTATAAATGCATAAAGAGATCCGGAGTCTACTTATTACAGTGACTGTATCTCTTGACGAAGGAGAACTATTGGATTTCGTTACAAGTAGATAATAAATGATAGTAGTAATAAACACTTTTACAAAAAAATTCAATCTAAATTCATTTCTATTTGGATACCAGTTTGTCAATTTCTCCAAAAAATGTTCTCGCATCGACAAAAAGAAGGCTTCGAAAAACTCTCGACCCTGGTTGTCGTTGATAAAATTTCGTCTATTCAAACTATTTTGTGAAAAGTGATACTCTTCGTTTCATCTCTGAAACTATTCTGTCATTCTAGCTTCAAATTCTTTTCGCGAGTGACACTCGATATACGTATCACTTATTTTATAAATAAAAGAAGAGTCTACTTTATTACTGGACACATTTACCAAAGAAAAAAAATTGCTTTACTTTAAACAAAAAAAAAAGTACAGCTTTAATATTATTCGTTTCGGAATTCTAGATCTCCAAGCTCCAGCGCTGGAAATTCAGGGAAAGCGTCATGAAACTTCGATGCGAAACGACCGTGACGTCGACAAGGTCCAACGACGGTCGCAGTCGAGGAAACGTTGAATACTAAATTCAATTTGTTTCGTCGTAGACGTCGAGCAACGCCGCGGAGCAACGCGTGTTTCCATCTCGCGGATTTACATAAGTGACTTATGGTCAGTGGGTATTAGCCCCGCGCTAGGGCGGGACCACTCGGATATCTTTGATGCGACGTCCGCGTAGGGATTCAAATGAGGGATGGTCGTTAGGAGTCCGGGTATAGAATATCATACGCGCGTATTTGGTTTCGCGGCCATCGCGCCGGAGTACTTTCGTTACGGTCACGGATTACCGAGAGTACGCGGCACCGTGGAAATTTTCAAAAAATATTCCGTAACTTTCGGGTTCGTTGCTTTCCGCCGTGCGATATCGATCCGAGCCCCATGAAATCGCTCGCGGGATATATAGGGGAGAGTTGCCGTAATCGTACCACTCGTGATGCTGTTACGAAAATATCTGCTCACCCCATATTATGCGTAACGTATTTCAAGTACCTGGTTAATCAATCACAGGCCTTGAATTACCAATTCAAATCGGAGTGGATATGAAACATTGCTTGGTCTTAAATTGATATTTGTCCTTATATCGGATGATTGCATAATTTCGTGCCCGATTTAAAAATGAAGCTCAATGTGTTAAATTTCGAAGAATAGAATTTTATTAATCAATTATGTAGTCGCTGTTAGTTTAACTCTTTCAGACCTGAATTACTGTTTTTCTCGTACTAATGCAATTTAATTTTAGGGTTAACTTGGACTAATATCAGTATGGTAATAATTTTAAAAAATCCTAACGGTGTTGTTTTCGAGGAAAACTGGTCGCTTTTCGTGTGCGCAAATAAGGACATTTGGCCTAAACAATAGTGTCGGTAATTTTTGAATGTTGTGTCCTCAATTTTGAACGCCAGATCTGAAAGGATCAAGTACCAGCCTATTTAGAAAAAATCTACAACGTATAATCTGCAAATAGAATTTTCCTAATTATTACATCTATTACACATAACTAATCTAAAGACTGGCATCGAGTCCTGGCCCTCCCTCAGCTCCCCGATATCCGATAGTTGAAAAATGAAAGATATTAAACGCCTTGCAGTACTCGATCCATCAAAACTGTAACCCCATCATTCGGTGAAATATTCGAAGCAACAGGGGATCAAGAAACGCAACCGTGAAACATAATCCCAGATTTCACGCGAAGATTATCAATAGTGACCACCGGGGGGGGGCCAAAATGGAAGCTGCGTAACGAGCCCGCGGTAGCCGAGGGGTCGCACGCGAACCAGCAACAAATTTTTCATCTATAATTAACTGTCACTGGCCAACGGTCAAGTAATCAAAGCGGAAACAGAAATCCGTCACATGGCACAGCGTGCACTGTGGCAGTCATATCGCAACGACGCCCACGCAAAATTGAAGACAACGCCAGGGATGATGTTATTCATAAATATCGATGCACCGACGGTGCAGGTTATTCATCGATGCTTATCGAAAATAGGTTAAATTTAACTTACATAATCAATGAGAGAGGTACGAAATGTACTTGAGGTAACAATAGAGATAACATCGGAAAATGCTTGAGAATATAACATGTTAGCAGAATCGGGGATGTAACGATAAGTGCCTGGGAAATTATTCTAAGGTTAAGTGAACTTATTTCAAAATCTCGAAGATGTGCAGATTTAGCACCGTACGAAGTGTCTACAGTTTCTGGGTTAACGTAGAACTGCATAATTTATCCGTGCTTTTAGGCGAAGTTGAAGCACGATATGCAAGATGAGCGAATAACAGTTGCCATCTGAGATAACTTCATACGAGCTCTAAATAAACGCAGAGCGAAACTGACGTCTCACTTCTACACAGAAATTGTCGATATCTTATCCATAATCGCGGTGATCCTACGCGAAACACGTACGCGGCGTGTCGTGTTTAAATTACGCGTAATTAATTCCGAACGCGAGCAGGGAACACGAGGGGAGACAATGAAGGACCAGCAAAAATTACGGAAAATATTTACTGTTTTCTTTTTTCGGTTCGCGGGGAGACGCGACGTCCTAATAAATGACGTCGGTTACCTTTCGTCGTCACGGTATGCATAGTAACGAGGGAGGACGACATGTTTCCCTCCGTCGATTTCATTTTCCCGCGGCGGAATCGTCGGCGCGGACCGAGACTTTTGTCTCGAGCGGGAAAATGGTTCCCTATCGGTGGCAACGGGCTTTATCAGATAAAGTCGCGCTATCGGTCTTGGCAAATAAGGAAACGCTGACAGTTCGACGATGAAACACAGCAGCCGTAGTTACGGAGGCGTACGTGCCGCGACGGCTATTTTTTTTCACTCCCTTCGCTCCGCGCGGCAGTAATTTCAGTTTCGTCCGGCGTCGCAGCAAGGACCACGAGCAACGAGTCGAGTGAGTAAATTCAGCACGAATCGATTGTAATATGTTCGTCCGCGTGTTACCGTGTACGTGGAACTCGCGAAACGAACGGTAGCGAAAGTACCGGGACCAATGTGTTTGTCGAAATCTTTTTTTGGATGCATTTGCAAGGTATTTAAGGGGTGCGTAGCATAGATTTAAAAAAATCGTTGAAAGGAAAACGACGGTAATCTACATGTAACTGTTTCTGTAAATGCGATTTGCGTTGCGCAATTCAACGTCATTTGTGTACAGTCCATCCTATAAGTATTCGTACTTTTCTAAGTCTATCGAAGAAATTTGCCTAAATTAAATAACAGGTTTAACGTTCACGAATTAACTTTTCGTTTGCTATGACATAACTCGAGTCCCTGGTGGTTTTTATTTTATTTTTTAAATTTTCAAATTACACTTTTTTAGAAAGTTATGAATACACGTACAAGCCAGAGTACTTGGTTCAGCGATTATAATTTGTATTATCAAAGGTCGATACAATTTGATTTTCTGAAGCGCTCTAAGAAGCTTCGTCCTCTGCGCGTTGTATTGGCACCACTATATTATTTACTGATACTACTTTCAACAATACCGGTACCTGCTTTCGAGGAATGCGAAACGTTAGAGGGATTAAAGGCCGGGAAAATCACATGACATATTTGTGTCAGATAAGAGTAGTCATTAATTAGTCGACTGGTTATCAATCGGCTCGAACAATTATCGTGGATTTTGGTTTTCTGTCGATACACACAGGAATGTACCGTTGCGAGCTAAATGTGATAAGATGTTATACAATCAGTCTGATAAATATAAAGACAAGTTTGATGTTTTCAAATAAATGATTTATTATAAATACGTACATGAAAAACGATAAAATCTCGATTCGATGTGCGAACGGCATAATGTTAATAAAAATAAAAATAAAAAAGGAAAAGTAATTCAAGACACAATAATTTTGATCAGATCATGGATACGCTGTACCCCAATCTGTACGAGAGATTCAAAAGCGAGGGTCTATGTCCGATCTGCCTGATGGAGATGGAACTCGCGCCCCGTTACACCTGCGAAAATCAGCACACGATCTGCTACCGTTGCAAGCCCTATTATTACTCCTGTCCCACCTGCCTATCGCCATTTAGCGTGGAGATGCCAGCTTCTCATGTCAGTGCGTCTTACGTACCGCCACCCACTCATTACCTGCCTCATCCATTTCCGCCGAAATTCCACGACTACAATCCGAGTGCACCGTCGGATGATTTTCTCGGCCAAGAGAGAACCAGGTATCCACCTACGCCGCACGAGGATCAGGAACCGAGGTCTTGCTCGTATACTGATCTAGGATGCTGGGTGAAAGTACCGGAACACTTGGCAGATCTGCACGAATCTCGGTAAGCAGTAAAGAATTATCAACTTTTCATTTCTTGAACCTTTAATTTAAATAGACAACAATTTTTGAAGGAAGTATAAGTACATATCTTCCTGGGGAATTTAATTGCCAGCACGTTAATTAATTTAGTGCTAGGAAAAGCTTTGCACTTACGTTTATAGTACACATAGCTCTGTACGAATCTCGGTGAGCTGCAAAGAATTATCGACTTTTTATTGCTTGAACTTTTAATTTAAATAAGCAACAATTTTTAAAGGAATTATAAATATATATAATCCTGGAGAATTTAATTGCGAACTCATTGATTAATTTAGTGTTGGTAATTCAATTCTTTTGTGCACTATAAACATAAGTTGTTTGCATTTTCATACAATAATCTTGTCAATGAAATATAACGAGTCCTCGAATTTGTTTGACTCTTGACTTTTACAGCTTGCTCTATTTACAACATAAATGTGGTCCAAAACATTTATCATCTCAAAGTTGACATTTAATATATAATTAATTTCCTGTTTTATTATCGCCAGATGGGAATGAATATTCATACGAATTTCAGATGTCAATTTCGGCCTCACTTAGAGGAAGAGAGCCTTCCCACGGACGTGGCACATATACACGACGACTTGGTCGAGTGCAAACATCGGATCGTCGGCTGTAAAGTGAAGACGTCGCCCTGGAGAATAGCCATTCACGAGAATTACTGCGCTTACAAGGCCCGTTTCGAGGCGATCAGCGACATCGCCGAGACGTTGGACCACGTAACCATCACGGACGACTGCCACGGCGATTCGGAGGAATTGGTGGAGTGCAAGTTCAGAAAGTACGGCTGCATGGTCAACATGCCCAGAAGACGGAAACATTTGCACCAGGAGAAGTGCAATTATAAAAAATATTATCGAGAGGACGACGATTCCGTCCACTCGTCCGAAAGCGAGTACGAACCTGACGAGCAAGTCGCTTGCATATGGGCCGAACATGGCTGCAGAGTGAGACCCAAACGCAGTCGCGCGGAGCAACACCAAGAAAAGTGTAATTACAGAATGGAGGAATGCACCTTCAAAGATAATGGATGCTCCGCTGTGTTCCATCCGTCCAGAAAGTACGCTCACGAGAGAACCTGCGAGTTCTGTGATTAAATTTTCACGTTTAAATTAAAATGCTTTCGAACGACGTGAATTATTGCAAGGAATTATTTCGTCGATGTTCGCACGAAATGATAAAAATATACTGTCGGCTTAGAGGGCGAAATAAAACTTTACGACCAGTGCTCGAGACCGGAACGAGTATTATGTCAAAGGCTTCTTTTTAGAAAATTGTGAATCATGAGACGTGAATATGAAAGGATTATGCTGATTTATGATTCGGAGTTATAATGTTCAGTTTACCGTTTCATTCGTTAAAATCACTCTACTTTATTCGAAAATATTCAAATTTGAATATTTTATAGATGTTTCACTGCCAGGAATGAACTTTGAATATTATTATTCGAATATTAAATGAAAATGAAGTATAAGATATTCTCGAATATTTAAAATATTAATTATTTTAATTATATCTGTCAAATATTTGAATCATTGAGATTTCCTAATATTTAATCACAAACAAAATCGATGAGTTGTCTCAGCTATGCACTCATTATCGACGATAGTTTTGTAGCTATTAGGGTGAACCAAAACTTCGTGCATATTTTATGTTGTTTCAGTTTGTGCAATTTTTAAAAGTCATTAAGAATACTTTGTATGCAAGTGTTATATTTTGTAGCTTTTGAAAAGCTCTTTCATATTTAATTACTAGCTACATGAATTTATTGGTCGTTTAATATTTTTTCGTTTTAGTAAAATTATGAACGATTTTGAGATTCGAGTAGCAAAGAAAATATTATATTCAGTTGTCAATGATTCGATTCAATTTTCCAAGGTGTTACTAAAACGAAAAAAAAAATAAACGATCAATAAATTAATGTAGCTAATAATTAAATATGAAAGAGCTTTTCAAAAGCTACTAAATGACATATAATACTTGCATATAAAGTAATTTGAAAAGACTCAGACAACATAAACAACGCACAAACTTTTGGTTCAACCTAATATCTACATAGAATATCGATGAATAAACTGTGTATTAAAAATTAATTCTCAACATTGTTCAATATGTATATTGTAACTGGAATAAGCGATAAATCGATTTGCTTGCATTGTTTGTGAAGTGCTCCCTTAAGCTTCCTAAGATATTAGAACTAAACGAGTCACACGTTCTCCTTCGATGTTTACGAGGTGCTGTGAAATAGTGTAGTGATATATTTTTAAATCCAATAAAGTTCCTAGGGAAATAAAAATCTGCTGCTTTAGCTAAAACCCTTTTACCGCCTGGCGACGTCCATAACCGTTCTTATGGTTCATAATCGAAGCTTTATTTATGTGGAGCGTTTCGTAATACGCGACGTGGCGTTCTTAATCTTCCTGGCGCATAACGGGAAGACGTACAAGCTGCCTTGGTACTTGGAAGTATCGATTCGCATCCAGGCGCACATTGTTCGCGAAGACAGTTCAAGCACATTGAATACCGCGCTATTAATTAAGTTACCATTAATTAGGTTACCATGAAGAAAGTTTATCCGAACCGTGCCCGAGCTAACCGTACCGAGTAATTACGAAATTATTTCGGAAATTGATCTTAAATCCACATCCCTAATTACAGTATTCACGGATAAATTATCGCATTCTAACTTCCTCAGTTTGAAATTTAATGGTATGGTATTTATTGGTAGAATATATTTTGCGTACATATTTTTTATATGTTTTATACAGTCGATTCCACAAGTGTTCGTGCCTTTTATGTCCACTGGAAAAACATGTCCAAAATGAACGACAGGTTTGATGTTTTTAAATGAATGTTTCACTTATTATTTGGGTATTAATTGAAAATGAAGTGTAAAGAGAACGACGATGAAAGATGAACTTAATGAAAGATGACCTGCATACGACCCTTGATTCACAGCCAACCCTAATTTAATACTTTACTGATCGGTAGCCTATTAATCGTCTCTTTTCCATGACAAGCAATACTTTCTTATTTATTACTGAGATAGTACGACCTCATTGTACACTTCCATTATTACGCGAATCATGAAATATTATACAAATAAAATTCATAAAACGATTGTAATAAATAAAATAAATTTTGTATAATACTAATGTTATGAAACTGACGAATATTATTAAATTTAACTACATATGGTAAAGTGTTGATGCAATTAATTTCTAAAAGAGAAATTGAATGCAAGCCAAATAGAAAACAGCTGGGTTGAAAGGGCTAGATGTAACGTCAAGGCAATTTGTTGGTGAACTAATTAAATCGAACGGTTTCATTAATTCCCACCGATCTCAGCGCAAATTAGACACACGGCTCAACGGAAATAAAGAGCGTTTTCGTGACTGTCGCGGTGCGCCCGCGAGGAAGTTTAGAATCCCCGTTAACCGCGATTCCCAGGAACTCCCGGGGCTTATACGAGCGAGGATTACTCCGTCTCTCGGTTTCTCTTTCGTCGTTGCACCGCCCCTCTGCGTTGTATCGTCGACGCGATAGTGAAACTTACACCGGCGTTCTAGGGGGATGATCTGGGCCATGATCGTCCGGAATGAGGGAACGATGGCGTGGCTGGGATATCGAACACCTGGAAGCTAATGGTGCAGCGCCCCAGCCGCCAACCGTCGCACCGTTTCCGTGGCGTCGCGACGCCCGCACCGACGTTTATAGCGATCATTTGTAAGGACACCGAAGAAGCTTGGCAAGTGAACTGTCTTAAACGTGATTACGTTCGCGCTGCCCTCGAGGAATACATGCGACGTTCCACGGTTGTCAGCTTGGACGATAAATCGAGTTAGACGCCGCTTCTATTCGCAGGTTGACGTTCAGGTGAACGTCAGGTTGGTCGTACATGTATTAAGGAGCACGGGATTAAACGTCAGGGGAAACATTTTGGCAGTGGAAGACCGTGTACTGCTCGACGAATTCCTCGTGAGACTACGCTTCTGGAATAGTTTGCGATATTAATCAGTAATTTTGTGGAAGAGCAGAGGTATTTATGGATGGTATTTTATGGATTTCGAGTTTAGAACACTTAATTTTAGTCGATACTCGGGAAAGTGAAATTTAATGATTATTTAAAATTGGAGAAATATTGCATTAAAATGAATTTTTATTTAAAAATTCGATACTTTAAGGGGTGATTAATCACTGTCAATAGGAATTTGAAATTTCTTTTTATCGAATTGCTATTACAAAAATTAATTACTTTATTTAAATAAAGTATATATACGATGTTTGGAGCTTGATGGAACTCATCGAAATAAATAGGAAGTACCCTTTGGTTACATCAATGCATGTCAGTATGCTTTACATTTAACAATGATTTATGAGCATGAGCACTACGAATTCTCACAGTGAATTACTCGTAATGCTGCTATTTGAAACAAGAATAGTAGTCCATAACGGAATATTCCAATCTATGCAGTGATTCATTACTGTTGGACCATAAATGAATGAATCGTTTCGATCGGTTTGGTAGTCGTCGATATTGCTACGGGCGCTCAGTTATCTAAAATCATTCGTTCCGGTGCGTACGGTCTAACGGCTGTATTAATTACCCCTAATTTATCAATGCTCATTCTATACCATTTGATCTGCTCATTACACTTGAATAATCTTCAATACGCGATATATTCACTTTACAATTCATCTGAAATAAGTTTTTCAGTAAGAATATAAAATTATAATAGGGTATTATGAACATTAGATTTGCCAAGAATGGAAAATTTTGCAATTGCCTGCTTACTCTGTTCAAATAACCCTGTATTACCAGAACTATTATTTATTATTTTTAAACGCGTGAAGGAATTCTATATGAATACAGTTCATGAATATCGCAGACGAAGCAAAAAGTACGAGTTCCTCGGAAAAGAGATTCAATGGCACGGTGCATGAAAATCTCAAAAGATTCCGTGGATCCAGGAATACACCTTTTTAGATACTACATAAATATCGAACGGAGCGAAAAGAGATAAACTCTTGTCCGTTCACAGTTCACGAGAGACCGTCGCCGCATCGGTCAGAACTTTAACGCTCAAGGGTGACCCAAGCGATGGACAAAAGGGAATAGAGGCTGTTTTACATAGCAAAGACCAAAGAAGACTACCGCCGCTACCCAACTGGATTCTTAAAGTGGATATTCCCTTTCAGAATACGAAGGCGCTACGTCCAGTTTCATTTCTTCTCGCACTATTTCACTTTGGACACTTTCCTATGACTAAAGGTTAATTGTTCAAAAATACAACTCTCGAGTAGAAGTTAATTTTCTTTAATGAATTTTAGTCGGAGTAAAAACACCTCGCATGATATAGTCATTATCGAAGAATCAACTCGAATTTGAAGAACTTTCAACATTGTTTCTTCCAAGTTTACTTGTGGCAATTATATAATTTAAAAAAAAAGTAAAACATCTAATGGAAGTTAATTTCGTTCAAACTGTTAACGAATTTTAATGCGATTAATAATATCTCACACGTAATAATTTTGCGAAAGAGCAATTTTTCAAAAAGACAAGACACGAGAATCGCCGAGAATCAATCCTGCCTATGACAAAATTGTTAATGTCCGAATTTTAAACAAAAGTAGAGCAATACGACAAGAATCAATAAATCAGAAATCGGTAAGGCATATTCAAGAGTCTAAACCAAAGTAGACGTAAGTTAGTCGCACTGGGAAGGGTGAGAAAGGGTGGCGAGGGGTACGAGTAAATTGCACCCTCGGGGAACGGATTTGACGAGTGGCACGGAGGGGTAGGACGGATCAGAAGTCAGCCAACTTTAATTAAGACACAGGTGTCTCCTTGCCTCTGGATTCCAATCTCTATACATAAAAACATACGATACTGAAGTTTTTTTACCACGATCAAAAGAAATGACTGAGACAACAAAATTAGTAACTCCTAACTTTTGCTCTCGTACAAGTGTGAATTTTAATTCAATTAAGGGTTTGTGTTTCAATGCAATTCAGAATATACATATATAGTTCCAATTAGAACAATGGCAATTATTAAGTGAATAATATGAACTCAAATGCTTTATTGATAGATAACTTCGAGTTGCACATGTAACTACGTGCAACAGAAAATAATTGACAAATGGACTTAGGCCACTTTTAAAGTAAACGTCTCGCATCATCCTCCCAAAAGAATGCTAACGATTTTCCATCTGGAGTGACTTTAATGCCAGACAGGGACTTCTTGTCGGAAATTCAGATACAATATCTCAGCCAGAATGGCGGACGACGCCTAACCCAAGAATCACCTTAATGCATGTATTCATACGGTAAGCTCGCAGTTTGAATCAGAAGCATAAGTAGAATAGGTGTTATGGGGATCATGACACGGACGCACCCTCTTTGACAAAGCAACTGCGGCTTGTCAGATATCTTATAGCTATTTCATTTAAACACTGTCCAAACACCCAAATCCCTGCTGCAAAAGCATGATATCTGACTGTGTCCACGTTAGAGCCCTTTAGGGACTCCTTGCCTCGAGTACACTCCCCAAATATTATGAAACTTTCTCAACTTATTAAATAACACAGATCTGCAATTACAAAACACGTCAGGAATTATAAATTATTAAATTTTAACATGGCTATTTTCTTTAAAATAGTTACCAGTATTTTCAGAAAAATGAAGCATACTTTAGGAATGTTTGTTGTTGTCTGTAAAATAAAGAACGATTCCAATGTTTTCTTTTCTGTTATTAACACTGTTCAGGAAGAGTACAAGAATATTTTTGTACGAATTTCATACAAATTATTCATTGATTTATATTAACGTTGAAATAGATGCATAATACACCCAGTTTTTCTGTCCTCTTAAAAAATTATCGCGAAACTCAGAATCGCCCTTCAACGACCGAGGGAACAAAGGGTCTCCAATTTAAACCCGAGGAAACGTATCGTACAACTGTCCAATGATCCCACTTTACGACCACGTTGTACGGCAATAAGGATGCCTCTCGAGCCCTCGCGTGACTAATTTCCGACGAACAATTGATAATAATAACTCAATTTTATTTCAGTCCCGCGCACCAACTGCCTGTTGCCTAATTCCGCTACGCTTATAACTCTATATCGTCCTCCATGGTTCCTCGAGAAACGTTCCACGTTATCTACGTTCTCCACCTAACCGTTGATCATCGACCGTTGATCACAGAAAGCCGTCTATAAACTAACCGAACCGGGCTCATGTGGTGGCCAGAAGTTCGAGGCCATAATTTTCTCACATAAATACATCTCGCCTAGGTAAAACCTCGTGTGTCTCGGGCCAGTCGACCTTGCTCCAAGACGCACGCGAACTCCATAATTCACCACGACTGTTACTCTGGACGCTCCGAAGGGAAAGGAGTCGTATCTCAATTTTGTCAGGATATAACTATCAACGGTTCGGTAACGAGAAAATCCAGGATGGTTCGGATCCCATAGACGGGGAGGGCTGGTGATTGGGTACCTTTGAAACATCCTGATTCCGTGGCACGTGCGCGATTATCATCCAGTGATGGATAGTAAAGGAGATGGACGACAGATTTTTCGAATAATAAGTGATGACTAAGACCAATGTGTTGGGATTTATTCGCGACGTTCAGTCGATTTAATAGTTGTATTTTTGAATATATTTTATTGGTAGTACAGTCGGTCAGAAATAGATTTGCACAGTGATACAATGTTCATTTTTATGTGTGTTACATTATGTTACATTACAGTATGTAGATAACGATAAAAGAAACATTTTTAAGTCACTGTCTATTGTTGTTCAAATATCAAAATGGAACATCGAAGAGGAGCAATTTTTGATGTCATAGGGAGTTTCACTCTACTAGTACATATAAGATTATAACAATGAATGTAATTAAAACTTTAATTTCCATTCACAACGACTGCAATGTACTTTAGCTGCTAGACTAAAACTTGTGAAAATTTCTATATAGTTGAGATTTTGTCTCGAGACTATTCAACACTTTGTCCTAGTATTTAAGTTTTGCAACCTGACCAAATTTACAAATCCTATCCAGATTTATTTTCATTCACAATCTCAACTACAAAATTAATTTTTTCAGTACCTTAATCAACAGT